TCTTGCATACAGGTTATAATCAGAATCGCTGCGAGTTCGTAAATAACGCTTGTGAGTTTCTTTCTTGGTCTTTAGCGGAGCCTTAACTGTACTGTGTTCATCAACTGGAACATTTTGACTCCTCTAAGCGTAATCTTAAGTACACAGGCATCATCTGCAGACATAACCGTGTCATTCAGAATCTACCATGAATCAGCCACGCTCATAACATAACATAGTGATGTCGGCGCTGAAGCGTAGGCCTGATGTGGCCTGTCGCCGATTCTTGATCTTTTCGTGCCTTGTTCACAGATCTAAACTCGTGTCATTTGACCGGATCTTTTCATGACTGACGATAGTTTGAAGTAGCTACTAGACTTCCACCGAAAATTTATTTACAAAGTTTATGCACGTGTTACCCCAAATCTCTAATTTTACCCTTAAACAGTCAAACGGCAACAATAAAATTTGTCTCTACTGTAAGTTCAGCACGTGTTAATATACAGTCTGACCGCTTTGACATGACCGCAACTATGCGCGATCTTCAACAAACGTTTTGTTTATTTGTTTACATTACGATGTAAACAAATAAACGGTAAAGCAATGCGGATTGCGGAAGTTGAAAATTTTATGAAATGACACGTTTGCGAAGTGCAAACCGCGATTTTTTAATCAAACAAAAATTTATGACATTTGAGCCGCGAGATTTCATACCTACTGAAATTATATGATATTAGAGCCGCGATATTTCAGACCATAGTGGCAAACCAGTGATTTTTTAGAATCAGTTCATTTTTAATTTTCTCATTTACCCAAGATTTAAGCCATTAAAGCCAATATCTTATGTATGATGATGCTGGTATCCATGATACTTTTCTGGTCTACTTATAGGACTTGAAATTGAACTTGAAGGAGAGTCTAAAAAACTCTCTGCTTTGCCACTATGTTTCAGACAAAAATAGGACTTTTCCAGACTAGTTAAGTTACATATGCAAAAGACAAATTTTAAGAAAGTCTCATAGTTTGCAAATGGGGGGCGCCGCCCCCCTATGGACGAAATGTGAACAGTGACCACCTAATGGCAGCCGTGACGGGGTAACATTGACCGGTTTGGAAAATGGAAATTAAGTAAAAATTACCATATATAAGACTCTGTAGAGTCTGAAACATAAACATAAAGAAAAAAACATTAATAGGTGTATCAAACATAAAATACCTATGTTATAGGGTATGTTATTACCTATGGTAACTTTAACTTAATTTCCAAGCCGGTCAATGTTACCCCGTCATGGCTGCCATTAGGTGGTCAAAGTTCCCCCATTGGGGGCGGCGCCCCCATTTGCAAACTATGACACTTTCCTAAAATTTGTCTTTTGCATATGTAACTAGAACTCTAGAAGAGTTCTACTACAATGCACCACAACCTGGAGTTATTTGGAGTTATTTTACCAAAAAATATAATTGATTTTACCACCCGGTCAAAGAAATCCCAAGAGCTGGCAGCTGGGGTAACAATGACCATCACTTTTTTTGAAATTACATCAAAACTATGAAAGGCAGGAGCCAGCAATTTATGGTGAGTAAAGCTGGAGTATAGACCTGAATTTTGCAGGTTTCAATTTAAGTTTAACTTATCTAGTAAAAAAATGGCATCATTTTGAAAAAAAGTGGTCAAAGTTACCCATTTTACGGTACTTTAAAAGCTTAGCAGCAATGTATCAACATTCAACAATATATTGAATGAATCATAAATTATATACCGTACCTATCTCAATGTCACGCGGGAGAATCTTGCCAGTTGCCAGACCAGCGGTTCCTAAGCTGGCGTTAGTGGCGTAGGCCTACAGACTACAGTACAGGTGCAAACTGGCACTGCAAGCAACTTAGCAAGGCCTTCCATGTCACATGTGGATGATGTGGTAGGCTTACTTTATATTTACTATAAACAAAAAAGTTTTCCTGCCAACAAAAGATATTCTGGCTTGCAACTGTTGCCTACAGGCTACAGCCTCATTGGCCGACGCCCGACGGTTGAATTCAAACCGTACACGCTTTGAGGCGTTGATTTTCATCACTTCATAAGCAGCGAAATTTTCTTCGTGTCAAGAGTTAGAATAGAATAGAATAGAATAGAAGTGTCGGCGCTGAAGAAATAGGCCCATGGCCTGTTGCCGATTCTTGAACTTTTCGTGACACCATTTTGAGGAGGTCAATTTTTTTTAATATCATTTCAAATATGGCACAAAAACAACGTGTTTATCTCCACTGTTTACATTTTTGGCCCACGTTGACGTCACACGAGACATGCGCAGAACGGCGAAAAAATCGTCGTCGCCGTGGGTCAACCTTGTATTAATTCAACCATGGGCGATATCGCCCACTTTGGGAACCACTGATCTAGTATGTAGTACTGAGCCACCCTGACTGGGCAGGGTGGCCCAGTGGTTAAAGTTCATAGTACCAGAATTGGCGCAGAGAGGCGCGGGTTCGATCCCAGCTATGTGCGCCAGTTTCTGGTCAGAATCGGCAAGGCCAGGCGGTTAAGCATAGCAGAATTGTAGCAGTGAGTTGCGAGTTCGAGACCGCAAAATGCTCTGAATGTTCGGCGATGTTAAGAATCGGCGACAGGACTACGGCCTAATAACGCTGAAACCGCTATTATTATTATGTTCTTGAACGCCTTCATACTTGGAGCGCCAACGATGTCATCGGGGAGGCTGTTCCACATGTCGGTGATTCGAAGTAGTCATGTCCTTAAAACAGTCCGAAATATTCGCCGCTTCACAAAGTTCAAACGTTCACGCTTCCGAAGCGTTTTTTCTGCACAAGACTTGATACTGAAAAACAAGGATTGGTGGTGGCTTTTGCCCAACGGAGCCTCGTGGCGAAGCTCATCATTGATTTGTCACTAGTAAACACAAGATCTAGAATATTTTGGGTAATATATAATCCAATAATATGATAATAATCCTCTTCCAGCGAAAATTATCGTCTGAAAGATAATAATTTTTTTCAGTCCTGTTGGGTCTCTGGTTGACTTGCAACTAATGTGTTCTTTGTCTGATACCACGAGCTGCCCCGGTGCTCATCAGTAGCATAAATTGCTTTGGAGAATGTCGACTTCCATTTATTGTGACTTGGCAGAACGTTGATATTTCACGTAGTCAATAACACACGGAGTGGAAAAATTTTACTTCTAAATTAATATTTGTTCACGATAGGCAAATCCAGAAATCGCTTGACCGATGCGCCGAATAATCTCGCCTTATGTCGGTTACACTGCATAGATTTCAAGCAGGCAGCAAATGCTGTTGAAAAATCCACGGAAGTAAATCGATGTTTAAACTGCTAACCTCTGATCGTCACTCGCCAATTCTAATTATTCTACCTGTAATGCAATTCCTACCTAACTGGTTATATGTCAGTCACACCGCCAAAGGAAAATAAAACGCTCAGTCGCACGGGAAGTTTCCTAAGCACGAACTACACCAGGGCTCCTGCTGGCGTCCGTGGTTCTCAGCGAAACAACAATAAAAAAAATCTTGATGTAAACAAAATAAACAGCTTTACATCACCACTAGCAATAATATCGCTACTTAGAACTTATCGAGTCTCGAGGGGTTCTTAGGGCAAATATTTACATAAAACTTTGGGCTCAGGGGCCACAATATGGGCCATTGCTGCTCGTAGTCGTGTAGCTCGTGGTCACTGCTGCTGCTCGTAGTCGTGCAGCACGTGGTCACTGCTGCTGCTCGTAGTCGTGCAGCACGTGGTCACTGCTGCTGCTCGTAGTCGTGCAGCACGTGGGCCAGGTGGTCGTTATCCGTGATGCGCGTGGGTGCTGTGCGACGAGCCTTCGTCTTACGTCTGGCAGGACGGAACACACGCGCCACGTCCTGCATGCTCTTGATGCCCTGCAAGTACGACAACTTGTTACAGTGTAGCTTAACACGTCTGGCATCGTTGCATCACTAATAATAACAAGCCTCTAATGTGTAAGTACGACAATAAGCTAGCATTATTGCGTCTGGCAGGCGTTGTTTTCTAATAATAAGATGCCCCTCGTCTGCAAGTACGACAATCTGTTACAGTTGTGCTACCACGTCTGGCAGGTTGGGCACATTAATAATTTAATGCGATATACCTGCATGTACGCCATTTATTACTGTAGCACTTGCACATCTGGCGGGAATGGTACAGCAATAACAAGACGCCTCCAGTCTGGAGGCAGGGCAGCAATGCCCTGAACGACTAACCTCTCTACGGGTGGCAGATGGCCTTAAAAACGGCACAGTCCGCTAACAAAAAAGCCAAAAAAATCATATAACTCAATATTTACTAGTATATTTGTAGGTTCCGGTGTAAAAAATCCCATTTCTTTTTTTTTTGCAGTTTTCAAAATTTAATTAGGAAGTACCGGTACCACTATCATAAATTTTAGCCGGCCAAGGCAATTGAAAAAAGTAAATCGTAGAATTTGTCCGGAAAAAAAGACCGACTGGCAACCCTGCTCTCGACCACCAAGCACTGTTTACAGCATCACCTGTCTACAGCATCCTTGTCTACAGTAGCACCGGTTTACAGCAGCACCTGTCTACAGCACCCCTGTCTACAGCTCCCCTGTCTACATCATCTCTGTCTACAGCACCCCTGTCTACAGCAGCACCGGTTTACAGCAGCACCTGTCTACAGCAGCACCTGTCTACATCACACCTGTCTAAAGCACCCCTGTCTACAGCACCTCTGTCTACAGCACCCCTGTCTACAGCATCCCTGTCTACAGCAGCACCGGTCTACAGCAGCACCGGTCTACAGCAGCACCGGTCTACAGCAGCACCGGTCTACAGCAGCACCTGTCTACAGCAGCACCTGTCTACAGCACCCATGTCTACAGCATCCCTGTCTACAGCACCCCTGTCTACAGCACCCCTGTCAACAGCACCTGTCTGTCGAGGTACTCAGCGATGTTGTCGTCATGCATGCCTGTCTACAGCACCTGTCTGCCGAGGTACTCAGCCATGTTGTCATGCATGCCTGTCTACAGCACCTGTCTGCCGAGGTACTCCTGTCTCTTATACACATCTAGATGTGTATAAGAGACAGTCCTAGCAGAGACGATCACTGAATTTCCTAGCAGAGACGGCCACTGAATTCCTTAGCAGAGACGATCACTGAATTTCCTAGCAGAGACGATCACTGAATTTCCTAGCAGAGACTATCACTGAATTTCNAAAAAAGTGTTTACTCACATTACATTTCTATCATACACACACAAAAAAGTGTTTACTCACATTACATTTCTATCATACGCACACAAAAAAAGTGTTTACTCACATAACTGTCTCTTATACACATCTAGATGTGTATAAGAGACAGCCACCCAGTAGTGCGTTATGAACAGAATAAAACATGTATAGGTAAACAAGGTACGCAGTCAGGAAGGTGGTAGGTAACCTCAACACACGAGACGTGGTTTATTATAACCTCCTACACAACCATTATACTACACACCTTCATGCCCTGACATGCCCTGCCATACCTTCATGACCCTGGCGTAGTTGGGCACACTCTCCTGGATGTCGTCGAGCAGGACGCCCCCCAGGCCCTTGATGTCGTTGAGGCGCAGCAGCTTCAGGAGGCCCTTCCTGTCACGCACCGGCAGCGCAGGGTTGAACACCCACGCCCCTGAGCCTTCCTCGGACTCCCGCACCTTCGGGTTACTCGGCAGCGCCTCGTGCAGCAGCCACTGCAATGGTAGGAGTAAGTAATGGTAGGGCAGGTAATGGACAGGTTATGGAGATGGCCACTGCAATGGTAGAAAAGTTAAGGGTAAGGGCAGCTTATGGAGAGCAAGTCTTACTTTCAAAAGGGCAGGGAGCAGAATTACCACTGACAAGCCTTTTAGTCTGGCTGAACTGAGTTAAAATGAACCACATATGAGTAAAAAGTCCATCAATATTTAGACAGTCACATTTATTTCTCTGAGAGTAGTGATTCTGTATGAAGCATCCTTTCCAAATTTACTTGATCTGAGGTGAGAAGTGAGCCGCTTCCTCTTATTTTTTTCATTTCAAATCTTACCTTGATCTGCTTTTCCAACTTTCTTGGTCTTTGGCCTCGCATTGAGCAGTTGTTACATCTGTTAGCCCCCACGGCCCACGTTGAGCTGTTGTCACCCACCTGTTTGATCTTGGGTCCCACATTGAGCTGTTGTCACCCACTTGTTTGATCTTGGGCCCTACATTGAGCTGTTGTCACCCACCTGTTTGATCTTGGGCCCCACATTGAGCTGTTGTCACCCACCTGTTTGATCTTGGGCCCCACATTGAGCTGGTTTGTCTCATCCAAGATCTCATGTAGGGTGAGGGCGTGCGTCTCGCCTTCCTGGTGACGGCTGCGCATGTGCCGAACAATCCGGGCCAGCACCCCGAACTTGTACTGCGACGAGTTACCGCTTGCTGCTAGACTCTTGAAACTGCAATTGTTCAATATTTTTTGCATTTGATAGAATACAGTGAGCGCACAGGGCAACAACATTATAATGGGCAATTTTACAATAAAGAATAATGAAACTATAAGAAGTAATGGTATAATAATTAGAAATGACACAATAATTGTAATGATATGACAGTGAGCAATAACACACTAATGATCAATGATGTGCATCATCCCTCAGTCTACAAGCTTCACCAGATGAAAGTGCCTTGTATTCAATTAAATGCTGCTTTTTAAAATCAATACAAATTAATGACTGTTAATGCGAAAAGTCCTGCTACATGCTAAGAGCTTGGGCAGTCAGAACAATTAACTTGTAGTTTTATTCAACCACAAACTTTTCATGAAATATATAAATTAATCAAATAAGCTTTATTTATCCAGCTTCTTTGCAAGTGATCTGAACTTGAGAACACAAATTACAAATATTATTCCCTTCTTGCCTTCAAGTTTTGCATTCTAGGAGGTTATTAAATTGTCACATTAAAACAATGGTGGCTATAAAAAGATCTTGTCTGATACAATAATTTGATGGGCAATGAGAAACAATCCACAATCTTGTGAATGTCACCAACAAATTCATCAGTAAAGAGGGCAGTACTAATTTATCTACTACAGCAGAAGGAATATATAACTGTAAGACTATATCAACAACATAACTGTATAGTTACATATACAGGAATGTAGAACTGTAAATAGATCATTCATTAGTGCAGCGTAATGGCTGTTCACCTCCCACTACGACTACATTAACCAGACAGACTATATGACAATCCATGCCCTCAGTGTCATGACTGCTTCTACACAAACACCTGCTTTGCTTTCTCATCCATCAATGGCTTTATAGGACAATTTCATGGGTGGCATTACCCCAATGTGCAAATTCAGTGTGCAATTGAGATGAATAAGAAATAGGCATAACCAGAAAATTGAATACCAGAACTTGTATAATTAAAAATTGTGCATTATTTATACAATTCTAATTGTACTATAACCCAAAAGTCACCTAGCTGTGTATAAGAGACAGAGCC